ATAACGGCTTTTTAATTTTAACAGAAATAATAGACTCAAATACATATTTTGGTTTAATTTAATACTTAATGGAATTTTCTATACTAATATATTTTGATAATAAATAACAAGTAGTGATGAAATATAAAGCATAATATTTTATTATAATTAATGGTCAATTATACAAGTGAAATAAATAGGAATTATAACGATTCTTTAAAGTAGTTCACAAATATGAAATTAATGACATTTTATACAATTTATATGAGGATCTATTAGCTGGATACTTTGCTCTTAAAGAAACTTATAGAAGAGTTAAAATTAGGTATTACTAGTCCTAAATCTATCAAGTATTATATTAATAATTTATGCACTTTTAACAAAGTTTATAATTTCTTAATTTTATCAATTACATCTGATCTTTTTCAAATTTAGTTTATAGTTTCTATATAATTTTTACTATAATATTAATATAAAGTAATATTTAATGAAAGTTCTATTTCTTTTAAATATACTGCTTGATTAATATTATTTAGAATAAGATTATTAATATAAATAAGAATGAATAGACTTTATATTATATTAAATTAATAATATTATCTTATTTTATTTATCGTCAAAACTTTATTAATTTCTAATATTTTAATATGATCAACTCTATTTGAAATAAGTATATTACTATTATGAATAATATATATTTTTTCTTTTACATTATTTTAATATTCTATAATTGAAAATTTTACTAATAAATTATTCTCATTTTTTATCATTTATCTATGATTAAATTAATGAATTTTCTATAGCTTCTATATGATATTGTAAAGTTTTTACTTAAATTTCTGTTTTTTATAACAAGAATTAATAAAATATAAATTGTAATTTAGTTTTACTTTATATTTTGATAATTTATTGATAAATTTGACAGGTAATATGATTTAAAGTGAATTTGCTATAGTATAGATCAATATACCAGAGAAGGTTACTTAAATAGAATACAAATTATATATCAGAAGTTGCATATATATCTTTGTATTATCCAAGTTTTTTGATTTTCAAAAGCTCAATAATATGATTACATAATAGATTATTTTGAATTATAATATATTATATGCTAATGAAAATGCATATTTGTAATATTATTTATTGAAATATTAAATATATTTTTTGATTTTCTGCTAAACAAATATTAATATCATTACTATTATCATTTTAAATAAATCTAATATGTATGATATTTAAAAAACTTAATATTTCTAAGTTTTTTTGAATTCTTTTTGATATTATATATCAATCTTTTGACTCATTTTTAGAAATTAACTAATATATTTATATTTAGTATATTATTAATAAAAAGTATTATCTTTAAAAAATGAGTTAAAAATCCTAAAAATTCAATACTAATTGCTGAAAATTTAATAATTTGTTTTTCATTTTGATATATAGTAACTAATAAATATAATTTCATAATTAACAATTATTCAGTTCTTTGTTCTTTATTTAAAGAGATACTAAGAAGGCAAGAATACAAATGAAAAAAAATCTGCAAAGAAACAGTAATATAATTTTAATAGTTATATAATACAAGTTTATTTTATTGTTAATCTACCTATTTTTAATTAGAATTTTTTTTTTAAAATTTAATACAATAATTTTTATTATCAAATATTACAGTATAATTAACTTTACCTTAATAAATTTAAATTCTTTTAAAAATTAATAACTTAATGCAAATAAAGTATAACTATATTTAGCAAATTCTATTGATTATTTAAATTTTATGTGTCTTTTATATATATAGTATTTGAGAGATTTGATCATAAGATTATTATAATACATATAAAATTATTGCTATGTATTATCAATAAGTTAGTATTTTACATATCATAATTACTTATTTGAAAAGTAAAAAAATTTCATCTTTTTCTTTAAATTTTTCAAAAATTAAATTCTCATCATAAATAAAAACTTTAGATTAAATTTTATCTTCATAGATATAAGTATTGCATAATGTAATATCTTTTAGTAATCTAATTATAGCTTATTTTGAACATAAAAGATTTCTTTTTATTTAATAATTTTTTGAATAAAGCAAAGATGATATAATATTTAATATTACTCATCAATTGCAACAAATGCTTTTTATTAAACATAAATATAAAAGAAATTTGATTTATAAAAAAAAAAGAATTAAATTTATCTTATTCTTTTTTTCATTTTTAATCCTTTCCTATATTAAGAAAAATTTTATTAAAATAAAACAGTTAGATTTATTTAAGATAGATAAAAGTTTCTTTTAAAGTTTTATTTTCATCATTTTTATAACATTTTGTATGTAAATATTATTACTATTTAAGTAAAGTTGAAAAAATTCCTTAAAAATATTGCTTAAAAATTATCTAAATTTATTGAAAACCTTATATAATTAAAATTTTATTTATAAATATTTATCATTAAAAAACAATTTTACCTTTTTTTAAATAAGATCATATAAAATTAAAAAAAAATTTTTTAAATTTCTTTATTTTTCTCTTTTTTCTAAAATTTATTCAGGTAAATTTAATTTTATGATTTATTTATCTATTTTTTTTTAAACAAAATAAAAAAATTAAAAAAATTAAAATCTTTTTCACATTTTTATAAACTAATATATATATTTTATTTATCATTAAAGTTCTGATTACAATTAAAAAAAAAATATTATAATCACAAATAAATTTATTTTAAATATAAATATGAGTAATTTAAATTTATGAAGATAATCATCTTTTATTACTGAAAGAAAAAAAATGCAAATATTCTTACCTACATTGAAAATACTTATGTGATAATGAAGTATAATATCAATATAATAATCAATAATTAGAGCAGTAGTAATAAAAAAATTGACCAATTTATTAAAAAAACATAATTTAAGACTAAAAGCTGAATAGATCTGTATTTAGAATAAATCCTATATAACTAACTTAATAATATTAGTAAATTGGTGAAAGTGATTTTAATATTATTTATTTAACTTAATAGTATAACTTAAAAAAAACTTTCTTAAGCTACTTCTTCAAAAGTTAGACCTTATACATTAAAGAATTTTTAAGAGAATACATTAACAAGATAATTATTTTAGATATAAATTTAATGTCTATTAGATAGTTGAATAAGCATTTTTTTATCAAATCTTATGATAGCATAAATATTTATAAATCATTGTATATATTTAAAATTATATTATATGTAATTTATTTTAGAAATTATATTTTTCATAAGGAGATATATATAATCTCATAAATTTTGCTTTTTTGATATCTATATAAAATCATAATTTGAGGAAAAAATATAATTATTAATTGGTATAGCTTTAATTAGAAACAAATCATATTCGTTGTATAGCTTATACTATGTAACTTATAATTAAAAATAGATTAAAAATTTAATTGATATAGTGAAAAAACTAAACTGTTTTATATAAAATTATGATAAATATTACAACTTTTAAAAGCAATATTTTATGAAATTTATTTTATTAATTAATTATTTAATTTATTATATTAGTAATAATTATTTTAATTTTTTTAATATTAGAAAGTATTTATGAAATTAGAATTCTAGATTTCATTTCATTTGATACAGATAAAAGTTAAAATAGTACATTTTTTTATTAGAGCTGCTTATTTATTTTTATAATACACTAGCTGTATTAGCTAATAGACTTGTTTTAATTAAGTTCTAATAGATCTACTTATATTGGTGATAATTTTAAAAAATTATTACTTAATTTAGAAAATTAAACAGCTTTAAAAGAATTAATTTATTGTTTTGACCATTTGTTAATGCAACTAATCTTATATCAAGTAGCACTTATTTAACACTTTCACTATAGTATTTAACCTTATATTGTTAAGAAATTTTCTTAAAAATATGATTCATAAAATTATAAGTTTACAAATCAAAATAATATGTAATAAAATTTGGTCTCTTTAGATAAGCGTTAGGAAATTTCTGATAAATTAGATTATATTGCTAGTTTTTTAGATTTTAATTCAAATATTTAAATTTTTTGTTTATAGATCAAATAGAAACTACTAAACAAAATTTAAAAAGACATATTAAAGTATTAGAAACTCTAGTATTTTAATCATCTGAAATACCCATTTCTTTAAATTTTACTTTCATATTTTTAGATTTTTTTAATCACATTATATCTTTCCAACCTCTTACATTTTCAGTTAATACAAAAATCCCTTATATTTACAACTTCCTATACTATCTGTTTTATCTTTAAACCATTCTCAATATCACTTTCATGATTCCTTATAATGATAATATAAAGAAAGATACCTTTTCTTATTTATTCAAACAAGCTCATAAATTTTTATTCATACCTATCACATCCAAAAGGCTTTTTTTCTGATGCAGATAACATTATCACTGATGTTCATGAAATTTTATTTTTAAAAAAAAATAATCATTTGGTTACACTTTATTCAAAATAAAAATTTTAATCATATTGATATTATTTATAAATAAATTCATTAAATAATTAAAGTTTAAAAGAATGTTATTAATTATAGTGTTTCAGGCGAAACTATTTTTCAACATCCGAAACGTTTCGCCCAGAGAATTTTTCTATGATCCGAAACTATCCGAAACCTCCGAAACCCTAAATTTGGAAAGATTTTTGCAGATCAAATTGGCGAAACTAGTTTCGCCCGAAACACTAAATATTATTAATTATTTTTATTTAAAAAAAATTGAATGATATCAATTTATTTTTTATCGCGCTGCATTGCATATTAGATACCCCTGTATTAACCCCTAAATGGCTTAGCCGATTAAGTTGACAACTTAGCCGATGATCCAGTCAGTCGACTATTACATAAAATATTACATCAAATTATATTGATTTTTTCTGAATTTTTTTCGGGGATGGTGTTGTCTCTGGAAGATTATTAATTGTAAACAAATCCTCTGAACTTGTGCGTAAGGCGATTCTTTTTATTTTATTAGAGTCAAGAACATTGAGTATATCAACTCTGCAATAATCAGAAAATGAAATTTGTAAGAAAGAAATTCGCCAGCAAATTGACAATAAAAGACATACCTTTAAACATAGAATATTTTTTAAAGACACGAGGCTTTCCGGAATATTTCCCCATGTAGTACCAATTCGATACTGACATGTCTCGAAAACGAAATAATGTTGAAGATCAGCATCATAATACATTGTATAGATTAGTGTTTCGGGCGAAACTAGTTTCGCCAATTTGATCTGCAAAAATCTTTCCAAATTTAGGGTTTCGGATAGTTTCGGATGTTGAAAAATAGTTTCGCCTGAAACACTAGTATAGATCTTTCCATTAAGACCTTTATTGAATAAGAATGGTTTCAGAAAAATAATCGATACAAGAATTTCTACATTGCTTTCCATAACTACCTCCTTGATTTATTCCATGTATAGCAATATTCTTTATCTCCTTAATTGTTTCCCTTGTAAATTTTAATTTCTTTAAGAGACGATCTAGTTGATCCTTCATTTCGCGGAAAAGTTTTTGCTTGTAGGAAATCGGTTTGGAGTTTTGTGGATCTTCATCAACGTATGTTTCTGAACCAAAATATTCCATGTCATCGATACGAAAGAGAATATCAATTTTGTGCCCAGGTTGTTTTTTTTCCGATTCTTCCCTTGATAAATTTTTACGCTCATTAGATGCCAATGACATTTCTTCACCCCTGATTAGGATAAAATATTGAATCAACTATCGTATTAAATCTTACTAGGAAACTAACTTCATACTAACCGATGAACTTGAATTTCTTCGCATGTTAAAAAGCAGTCATCAATTAACAAAGTTAAGATATGGCAATTCAGCCAACCTTCGGAATGTTTATCTAGGAGTGGATTTCGTGGGGCCTCAAAAAAAGATAACCTATATGATAACAGATAAAGTGATTTATTGTGAAGTAAGTCTTTAACCTAAACTGCAAAATGACATCTATAGAAGATGAGCAATTAAACCCACAATTTATTGGCGAAACAGTGGACCCAGTTCATCTCATAATGTTTATTAAATGAATAAATTTCATCCGGTGGAACAAACGGAAGTTGAAGTTTGCTACGGAATTTATCGCGTGTATCAAACTGAAGTCAAAGATAAGGAAAATTGTGCGAAATAAGTATTTGATTATAAAAAGGAATTTACTAGTGATAAATCCTTAAAACATACATTATCGATTAATTCATCAATATATTTTGTTGCCTCGTTAATAACAGAAACCCAAGTATAATCACGTTTGATTTCCAATCTATCCATTGAATGTTTGTTTGTTGTATCGATTATGTTTGAACAGATCGGTTCACTATAATAAAAATAGGAACAATTGTTAATAAAATAATACGGAAATGCAAATTAACATGCTTTATTTACAATGTCGATTTAGCTCGCTGTTTTTCTTTAAGTAGCCGATCAAGAATGTCCTGATTTGTAGTCGTAGAGTATATTTGATGAGTCGGGGTGCTTGGTCTATCATCCCTGAGGCTAATTACATCATTACTAGACCTTGCACCTATTCCTATTGACTCTGAAGATTGTGAACTTGAGGCGATTGGATTGTTAGTTAATAAAATAATACGGAAATGCAAATTAACTTTAATAACATGCTTTACTTACAATGTCGATTTATCTCGCTGTTCTTCTTTTAGTAGCCGATTTGTAGTCGTAGAGTACATTTGATGAGTCGGGGTGCTTGACTTATCATCCCTGGGGCTAATTACATCATTACTAGACCTTGAGGCGATTGGATTACCAGTATCGATCATCTCCGCATTTCCTTCATCTGTGATCTTGACCTGCTCATGCTATAAGAAACAGAAAATTTTTTGAGAAATTCATTTGAACTAGCCATTATCATCGTAAGGTTGCATTCTATACCTTCTTTTTAAGAGATAACTGTTTTTTCCGTTTGGTTGGAGAAGTTTTGGGAAGTAGAAAATCATCATCGAACTAAATACAAAATAAGGAGTTAAATTACTTTTATCAGGCTGCCACACTTTATCAATTCTCGCCAGAAAATCACGCATCTGCATCTACTTTAAAACACGGTTTTTTTCGTATCTCTGAATTTAACTCATCAACAAGTTCGAAATTTTGTTGCTGACGAGAGACATGAACCAAATCCAACCCGTCTATTTGTAATTTACGCTTGACAATAATCTTGAGAGATAACAAATGAGCGTGAATATGTATTTGACACCATTAACAATCCTATTCAAAATATATGATATTCACCTTTTTGTTTTCGAACTCATTTTCTAGATCTCTCTCTAGTTTGACAATTTTCCAAAATTTTTGCGTTTCAGGTTCCTTCTAAAAACAGCCAAGAGGTTAGTAATTTTCAATATGACGAGATTTGAACTGTTGTCACAGAGGAACGCGCAAGGAACGCGTAAAAACGCGCAAGGAACGCGCAAGGAACGGCACCCGACGTGCACCCGACGTGCACCCCAGCAACAGACGAACAAAACGCGAGGAACGGCACCCACCGCGAGAAGGAATCAAAGAGGAACGGAACCCCTACAATACCCGCTGTTGGTTGCGAAACGCTGCCTTGACAGTTCAGAAAACTACAGAAGTTGACAAAAGAAGAGTTACAAAATCACCTTGTTTCTCTTTTACATCCCGAAAGTTCTTTAAACAAGCTTCCTCACTATTGAATTTAGGTTCTCAATTGAATTTTGATCAGAAATGAAGTAAGGTTTCAAAGCATTTAAAAAACCATGATATGACCACTCCAAAACGGGTGTATTATCGAAGTATGAGTTGGTCTCTAGAACTAAAGACATTTGTTTTGGAAAGAGTAAAGTAAAACTCAAGTAAAAGGATGTTAAGAGCAGGGCTTAAATAGTACTGTAAATTCCGGCAAAATCCGGAATTTTAAAGAATCCCGATAAAAAATTTGTTGTTCCGACACCTGGTAAAATTTTTGCCGGCAGAATTAATATTTTTATGATTGCAAAAATATTTTCTAACTCTGGCCAAATTTATAGTGCTGCCTAAATTAATTGAAAAAAATAATAAACACGTGATATTAGCCAATCAATTTTTATGTATTTTTTTTTTTATTATATCGCTTCGGACAATAAAATCTGTTTTTTTGTATAATGCTATAATGCCCAAATCAAAATTAAATGAACATATTTGTTGGTTAATAATTGAAAGGACTCTGGAAGGGCTTTAAAGTAGAGCAATTGCAAGACAACATTGGTAAATCTACAGTTTCTAGATGTATAAAGAATTTATCATCATCATTAGGACAAATAAGAATACTTAAATTGATAAAATATTTAGAAAATCTTTTGAAAGAGAGAGTGAACTGGTATTTGTGAGAATTACAATCTGAAATAGAATTATGATTAGGACGTCATATTAGCTATTATACTATTTGGAAAGTAATACATCACCTTGATTATACCCATAAATAGTTAAAGAATTTTTCTAAATATTTTTATATTATTATAATCAATTTATTTATCGACCTTATTTATTATATTTAGTTGTCTAAACTAGTAATAGAGCGTAATGAAAATAATAGATTAAATTTTTATAGTTCATATATCACAATATTTTTCAATACAACTTGAATTTTCTGATGAGTCTATATATGATAAAAGAATACTTTCTTAATATTATGATGGAATTTTAAAGAAAAATGTGTATGTAAACACACATTTTTTGTTCATGGGAAATGATATACTATAGAAAGAGCATTATGTCTTAATGATTTTTTAGCATATGCAATTCAAGAAGGTCTTATAAATAGTCTTATATGTTTTAGTATGTATTATTATTTTCATAAATATTTTTAATTTTAATATATATTATTAAGAATTAATTTTTTTTTATCAAAGCTTTCTAAGATGAATACATATATAGATCCCAATAGTATTTTGGTATTAGATAATGTTTCTATACATAAAGGACAATATTTACTTGATATTTGTAATGCAAAAGGAGTTCAGATTGAATTTTTATCATCATATTTATCAGATTTAAATCTAGTATATAAGAAATTTATAATAAAAAGAACAAATCAATTGTAGTTTTTTTTATATTAATTTACAAATTAATATGTTATTCAAAAAAAACTTCTTCAATTATTTGCTCAGATAAAAAAAACTTTTTTATTTTTATTAATTAAAAATTTTATAACAAATCTTTTATTTTGTAAGAGTTTATTAGAAATATAAAATTAATAAGATCAAAAAATTTTATATATTTTATTATCTGAATATTAGATTTATATTGTATTTTTTTAAAATAAATAATAATTAAGTTAGGCTTTGTTTTTTTTAATTATGTAATTAACATATTGGAATTGTAGTGAAATAATAAAAGTAAATAAAGCTGGATCTTTATTTTATAAAAGGTAATTTAAATTTTTTTTTAGTTTTTTTAGTCGCATGTGACTTCATAATATAATTATATTATGAAGTCACATGTGACTTGGACTAGATTATGAAGGCAACTTCATAATATAATGGTAACTTCATAGTTTACCAGTGACTTCATAATATAATGGTAACTTTATAGTCTGTTAGTAACTTCATAGTGTAATAGTAACTTCATAATATAACGGTGATATCATAATCTAATTACATGATCTGGTGGCAACTTCATAGCCTACTATTTATAATCTAATAGTGACTTCATAACCTACTTATGGGTAGCTCCTTTGCGTTTATAACATTGTTTTAACTGTTTCTTATATAATATGGTAGTAACTTCATAATCTATTGGTGACTGATAGTGCTTTAATTTAATGGTGATTTCATGATCTAATAGTGACTGCTTTCTTCTTGTTCCTAATCAGTTTACATAATAAAATCTATATTGTTAATTCTGGCTTTCCAGTCTTCTTTGAATACCTGGTTCTATAATGGGATGCTGGTCCTCTATGCTAGTTTGGATACTAGTTCTATATTAAGAATTCGCGCCTATTTGATTGCCTTTCTAGATGCTAAAATGTGGTAAAAAAATATTGCATCAGATGGTATAATAAATCTGCGATTAATTTTGGCTGACATTATGCCATAATTTCAGCCAATCTTGGAACACATAATTTGAGATCTAACTTGGTGATATGATAGCGCCATGATAGTGCTGTGATAACTGTTATAGAACTATTAGAGAACTGGTGAGGAGCTAGAGAGATTCTATTAGTTCGCCAGTTTTAGACCACTTGTATGCTAGCTTGGATGTCGAATTATTATATCTGATAATCTGACCGAAATCATGGAATAGTGTTGGCTAAAATTAACAAAATTTACTGTATCTTACTGCGTCATGATCATGTGTTCAGTTCCTTGTCAGTTTTAGGCACTTTTCCGTCACTTTCAAGTAACTTTTGAGTAACTTTCGAGGGCCTGATTTAGTGGTCAGTTGGTTAGAAGATTAGAGGTGTAATTTGCATTATATTAATCAGCCCATATATTTTCCTTCTTAATTGCTAATTTCTTAATTGCCGGATAAGATATGAAGTGCTGAATTTGCAATTCATCATCTATTTGTTAAAGATGTGTTGCAATCTATTCACTCACTTTTTGATTGCCGGTGAGATACATATGAAGTGTTAGTGTTGTACTATTCTTGCAATCTTGCCTTTTGTGACCCTTTTGATTACTAAGGATGAGACACGAAATGCTGAATTGGTTCAGGCTATATTGCTTTTATACCTTTTTTCATGTATTTTCCTGAACCTTTCTACCTTTCTGATCTCTTTCCTGCCTATCACTGGTAGTATCTATAAGCATAACTTTCTATTTTCTTTCCTATATATTATTCTACCTGTGGATACTACCAAATTTATACCCTAGTTTTTGCCCAAGCCTTTCTAAAACTCTTTCTCGTATAGTTACTACTTTGAGATACTTTGGGGTACTACTATATCGATTATTTTTAGGCATTATTATATTGATTACTTTTGGGTACTACTACATCGACTACTTTTGAGTACTACCATATCGACTACTTTTGGGTACTACTACCGATCCAGTATTTTGCTAACAAGCATATTCACTCAAAATTTTTATTTTAAAGATTTACAAGTTTCTATATAATTTTATACTACTTTCTTGCATATGCTACTATACTACTTGCGCAAAAAAATACTAGACCTGCCCTAAAACAATAAATAAAACAATCAGGCTCTTTTCAGGGTTAGCGGACCTTGATTTTGAGCCTGGCTATAATGATCTTACATATTTTCAATATTTATTTAATAGTAAAGATGATGTCGCTCTTCTAGATACTTATCATCCTGAAGAGATTTTTGATAAATATATAGTCTGAGTATCAGGAAAGGGTTTTACAGTAGTCGATCATCCATCTGAAGTTTATGGATTACCTGATACCCATGAGTGCATTGATGGGAATTTGCCTCTTTGCTTAGTTCTGAATATTGACGCGAGGCAAAAGCCTGATCCTATAAATCCTGAACTCCCTTTCTTAGATGGATATAAAATTTCTCGCGAAGATTTATTATTCAAAATCTTAATTGCCTATGCTGATATCATATATTCTGATTTAAATCATTTCATAATTTTAAATGCTTTTGCTTTAGCCAGTTCATCTAATGCTAATAAATGCAGTTTGCATATCATGTATCCTTATGCCTATTTTATTGATTACAGAGATCTTAAGAGTTTTGTAGAAAAAGTCACTGTTAAGATTAGAAAGTCATATTCAGAGTTTATTGATATTGGACTCTATAAATCTCGTTTCAGCCTTCGTCTTCTTAGATTGGCAAAGAAAAATAGAGTTAAAAGACCTGCAATTTCTTCCATCAAGAATGGATATTGCGAGCTAGAAAATTATTTAGTTCAGCCTAAATCCAATTATTCTAAAATCTGGCCCTGAATATTTTTCTCTGAAAAGCTGAAAAAAGAGGAATTCCAACCCATCGAAGATAAAACTGCCTCAAGCGTGAGAGCTGATTTGGTTACCGCAAAATATGAATAGCTTGAGGTTGGCGACATTAGAAAGGGATTTGTCAACTTTCAAACTCAGTCATTAGAAGCATGCCCTATTTGCGATATCAAACACGAAAAAGACCAGTTATATGGCTTTCTTCTTAGAAGCGGGAGCTTTATGCTTAGATGTTATCGGCAAAAGCAATATAAATTAGATCATAAAGGATTAACATTCGGAGAAGTAACTAAATTTTCTGCAAAATCTAAGCGAGGAATAGTTAAAAGAATAAGCAATGCTATATCAAATCCACATTCTCTTGTAAGATTATCAGAGACAATTATTAATGTAGAAAAATTAAGGGACTCTTCAGAAGCATATCCTGATTTCTTGAGTACTGAGAAAATGACAACGCTTATCCATTCTCCTCTAAAAACATAGAAAACCACTGCGTTAAGGGAGATTATTATAGCATTGAAAGATAAAGTATATGATATTTCTTCTTTGCCATGCTTCATCTGAATCTCTTACCGAAAGTCTCTTAGCAATGAATCAAAAGCAAAACTCAATGATTTAAAAGCATTAGATTTCTGAATTTGCAATTACCAAAATACATTAGGAGATTTATCTATAGATAAATGGGATATTATCATAGTAC